AACAGTAATCACATCCAACTAAATCAGAGCACAACACTACGATCACAAGAAAATTGCTCACAGCCTCACAAAATTCACATGTTTGAACTTAGCAAAATATTTCTGCTCGGATATGTATTATGCGTTTGTTTAACAGAAATCACAACCTGTAACTGACTGGGGATTGAATAAGCGAAGGCACTGACATTAACAGCAGTAACGAGGAACCTCAGATAAGTGTCACTTTAACTGAGCAAGAATAGTCATTGTTGCGGGTTACAACAAGCTAAGGAGTTTGCGACAAGCGAACAAGTCTTGAGCAGTAATTATAAGCTATACAAAATGCGAATACCATTTCCTAGGCGAACGATTGAAGTGATTCTGAAAAAAAAAAAACATCTGTAAGCAGATCCTTTATTGATAGATCAGGTGCGAAGGTAGTGAGTAATTCAAGAACGTCCTAGCTCGCAGCACTTCATCGTTTCTCCGCTCCATTTATGAAACATAGGCTTACCTTATCGATGTACTGACATAAACATAACTGCTTAGGGCAATGTTTCGGAGTGTAGTCGCTCACTCCAAGGGCGGGTCTGGTAGGAAATATGAGACGATACTGAAACTATTTAAATCAACCAGGGAATAATTGTTAAAAGCACTAGACCACGCGATCATGCTTTCTAAAATTGGTTCGATGACAATTCTCAAAAAAATCTCAGCCCATTTGTTATGAATGGACACCCTTAGAACATACTTGACAGATTCAACATCTTACTTTTTAGTTATTAATCCTTCTATTGCGAATGACTTAATAAAACCAAAAAAACCTCCCTTAATTTAGAGTCTCTGTCTCAAATAAAAAAAAGAGAGATAACGAACCCTAGCAGAATCCTTTACGTACTGCTGGCTGTACTTAAGTATGAGATGTCGCGCCTTTTCCTCGATCTAAATTAGAGGATGATCCTAGAAGTATGAAACAAATCACGTTAAGAAATCTGCACTTATGCTTAAATTAGTCCCATACGACAAATTTACAAGTATTTTGAAGAAGGTAAAATTGATTTGGTCATCATATTCTAGTTTCTGTTTACAAAATCTGCAAACGGCTAGATATGCTGTGATACCTCCTTTTTAGTCATTTCCTTTGCGGGTGCAGTATGTGCTCCGCCACCAAATACCACAGCTCCACCACTGGCCTCAATCCGAATAAGTCTCTCAATGTCAGGAAGGCAGTCTTCTAATCGGAACCACATCATGTGAATCTGATTTTTAGGCGATGATTACATACATTTTATAAGCAATACCACGAACTAAAAGTTCAAATAATGACTGTGTTGTTATCACACAAGAAACTCCTGAGACGGCAACCCAAAACTTCTTTTCAGAAAAAGAGTATCTAACACATCGAGCAGGTAAAAACTTCAATCACTGGTGCTCAATATGAAAGCATTGTCAACAAAATCAGTATAGTTGCGTATAAAGCGAAGAGAAAAGTATACTGCAAGGTTCTTCAAATATGCATGTATCTCTAACGAAAACGACTTTGATATTC